TCCAGAGTTCCCAGGTCAAGGAGAAAATATTACAAGCTGCCAGAAGGAAACAATTCAAGTACTGTGGAAACACAATCAGGATAACACAAGATTTAGCAGCTTCTACATTAAAGGACCACAGGGCATGGAATATAATATTCCGGAGGGCAAAGGAGATAGGATTACAACCAAGAATCACCTACCCAGCAAAACTGAGTATAATCCTTCAGGGGAAAAAATGGTCATTCAGTGAAATAGAGGACTTTCAAGCATTCCTGATGAAAAGACCAGAGCTAAACAGAAAATTTGACTTTCAAATACAGGACTCCAGTGGAACATGAAGAGGTAAACAGGAAAGAGAAATCATAAGAGACTTATTAAGATTGAACTGTTTACATTCCTGCATGGAAAGATGATATTTGTAACTCATGAGAACTTTGTCAGTATTAGGGTAGTTGAAGGAAAAAAAAATTTATGTATGTATAGATAGATAGATAGATAGATAGATAGATAGATAGATAGATAGAGGGCACAGGGTGAGTTGAAGATTAAGGGGTCATATCTGGAGAATAAAATTAAGGGATGAGAGAGGATGATACTCGGAGAAGAAAGGGAGAGGTAGAATGGGGTAAATTATACAAAAAAAAAAACCCAGAAAAGAAGTCTCTCACAGTGGAGGGGAAACAGGGGAAGGTGAGAGAGAATGAGGGAATCTTATTCTCATAGGATTTGGCTTAAGGAGAGAATAACATACACATTCAATTGGGTATGGAAATCTGTCTTACCCTACAGGAAAATAGGGGAGAAGGGGACAAGAGAGCAGGGGGTGATAGAGAGGAGGGCAGATTGGGAAAGGGGTAATCAGAAGCAAATACTTCTGAGGAGGGACAGGGTCAAAAGAAAGAATAGAATAAATGGGAGGGCAGGATAGGATTAAGGGAAATAGAGTTAGTTTTTCACAACATGTCTACTAAGGAAGTGTTTTGCATAACTGCACATGTACAACCTATATTGAGTTGCTTGCCTTTTCAATGAGGGTGGGTGGGGAGGGAGGAAGGGAGAAAATTTGGAACTCAAAGTTTTAAAAACACATGTTTTTTAAAAAAATGTTTTCACATGCAACTGGGAAATAAGAAATACAGGAAATGGGGTACAGAAGTCTATCCTGCCCTACAGGAAAATAGAAGGGGAAGGGGATAAGAGAAGGGAGGGGGGAGAGATAGAAGAGAAGGCAGACCAGGGGAAGGAGTATTCAGAATGCATGCCATCTTGGGGTGGGGGGAGGGGTGAGAAATTTGGAACTCAAAAACTTGTGGAAGTGAATATTGAAAGCTAAAAATAAATAAATTTATATTTAATAAAAAAGAGGCAAGGCACGGTTATAATTTGAGAGAGGGGGGAAGAACACTGGATCTGGGGGATCCTGGTCTAGCACTCTGACTCTCTAGCCTCAGTCTGCTCATCTGTAAAACAAAACTCTACCTGTACTATGTAGCCCCACAGGGTTATTTATAGACTTAGGGATGGAAGAGGTGATTTAGTCCTGCCCCTCATTAGCCAGATAAGCCCTGGAGAGTTCCCAAGTCCACACTTCCCCAGAGCCTACCAGGGAGCCACTGGAGGGCAGAGGTGACTGGAGGTGACCCCTTCCTCCCAAGGCCCAAGTCCAACTTCTGCCTATGAAGCCTACTAGGAATCCCCCTTCCCAATGGCTGTGGGCCTGCGGTCCACTCTCTTCGGGGCATGTGTGGCTGCTCACACCCCTCCAATGAATAGAGAGCCAATATGTCAGATTCTTCTGCTGAGATGGGGCATGACCAGGTCCTACCCTCTGCCCTGCTGCGGCACCCTCTAGATATCCGGACCTCGCCTTCCAGCCTGCTGCACAGCTCTCTTGCCTTTTCTCCTCCTGTGGTATGGAACAGGGGCTCCAGGAGAGCACAGACTTTGTCTGTTTTCAGTGTGTATCCCTAGTGCCCAGCCCAGAGCTCGGCACCACTAAGTACTTAACAATGTGCTGGTGGTGAGCAGCTGGGCCAGGATTTTAACTAGGGTCCTCTGATTCCCAATTTGGCACTTTTTCATTGTTAAGACAATGAAATGAGAAGGTGGATGCAACACATGACACAAAATGCAGTTGTGATTTAGGGAGAGGTAGAGAGAGACAGAGACAGAGAGACAGAGACAGAGACAGAGGGAGAAACAGAGAGAGACAGAGAGGGGGGAGCAGAAGTGAGGAGGTTCCCAGAACTTTGCCCAAGGCAGCTTGGCTTGGGAGCAGCTAGGTGGACTGAATGCTGGGCTGGATTTCTCGAAGATCTGAGTCTGAATCCTGCCTCAGATGCCAACTAGCTAGGTAGCCTCCGTTTCCTCATCTGTAGAATAGGGATAATAGCATCTACTTCCCAGGGATGTTGTGAGGGTCTCAAACACATTTTGCAAACTTCAAAGCCCTAAGTCAGTGTTGGCTATTATCATTCCTCTGGTCTGATGCTACCTTGACCCCAATAGGCCTGGTGATGGTTAGGAGAAATTTACCAAGAGGCCTGGACAGAGGGATGGGTCAGCCCTTCTACCTGAGGGCAGCATATGTGCCTGGGCACACACCCCTGTGTGGGAGGTAAGACCGAGGTGAGCTCAGAAGGCAGCCCGGGCCCAGGTGGTGTGAGGGCTGAAGGCCCCCAAAGGTGGATGCCCCCCTGCTGGTGCCCTAAATTCCTCAGTGAGTCAGGAGGTCCTTTGGGTTGGCCACTGCTCTCACCTCCTTCTCCTAATATGCAAATAATAATGAGCACTTTCCAAATAAAGAGCTGTTGACTTTGCCGCCCTGTGTGGAGGTGGCGAAGGTATTGCTGGTCCGGTTTCACAGATGAAGAAACCGAGGCTTCCCCGTGGTCACCCAACTCGGCAGCAATAAGCAGCAGGGAGGGTTTAAACCCAGGGCCAAGGCTGGAGAGGGACAGTCTCCCTAAGCCCTAGCCTCTCCGGGCCTCAGTTTGCCCATCTGGAAGATGAGAAGGCCGGATAAGATGACGGCTAAAGTCCCGGTGGGCTCTAGGCCTGAGTGTCCCACGGGGTGCCTGGAGAGCCCGGCCCGCTCTCCTCCTCCGCCTCATTCACTCACTCCGTGGCCCGAGATGCCGAACCAACCGCCTAAGACAAGGTCTCTGCTTTCAAGATGCTCCCTTCCAGTCAGGGGGGGTGGCGCCCAGAACGTGGACACCTTTGTTAGCGTCTTCAGCGCACCTTTGAAAGGCAGAAAAGCGAGGCTCCCAGGCGGCGGAGAGTTGTCTAGTCACAGAATAAATCAGGGAAAGGACGAAGGAGCCGGGACAGTCAGGGCTGGCTACAGCGGGGGGAGCCCCGCGGCTCTGCGCGGGTTTGGGGGCAGTAACGGCGCAAAGGGGCTGAAAAGAAGGGACCGCTAGAGGTTCGGGACTCTAGGAAAATGACCCAGAACACGGGGCACAGTGTCTGAGCTGGGAGGGCCCTTGGAGCAGAAAATGGCCCAGGCCGTCCAGCCGAACCCCCTCCTTTGGGAGGACGGACGGGAAGGCTCCTTCATCCTCCGCCCGCCGGCCCCTCCCGTCCTCGCCGCATGCGAGCGCTTGGAGCTCCACGGACGGACGGCGCCAGAGAGGGGCTCGCCTTAACGAGTATGGGCTGCGCCCCGGCGTCTGGGCCGGGGCAGGGCGGGGCGCGCAGCCCTCGGCCCCGCTCCCCGCCGCCCCGTCGGCTCCAGGCCGCCGAGGGCCGCGTCCCCCCGTCCCCCGCCCCAACCCCGACGTGCCAGCCGGCCACGCAGCGCCCGGACCGCTGCTTTCCGGCCGCCCCGGGCTCCTTCCTTCCGAAACCCGCGTTGGGCAACTCGGCCGCCCCCTGCCCGCCCCGCGGTGACCCGGCCCGCCCCCCGCAGCGCCGGGGGAACCGGTTCTGCAGGTAACTCCACTAGGTGACTTGTCACCGTTATTTCTCCACGCATGCGCCGTCCTCGTCCCACGCCTGGCCGGGCTAATTAGATGAGAGCACCCCGGCCCCTCCCTCCCCTCCCCACCCCAAGCGCACACGCACACACACACACACACACCACACACACACACACACACACACACACACACACACACACACACACACACACACACACACACACACACACACACACACACACACACACACACACACACACACACACCCCCGAGCGCTGCTGCAAGCCAATAAAGTGGGAACCCGTCGGGCCGGCCGGGTCAGAGCGCGCCCTAAGACTTCCCGGGCCGCGCCGCCGGCTCCGCCAGAGCCCAGGGAGCCGCTCAGCCGCCACCACTGCTCCCCTGCCCTTGACCCTCCTGCGGGCGGCGCGGCGCGGCACGGCACGGCAGGGGCACCGGCGCGGCGTCTGGCTGCTGCGGCCGCTCCTCGCGCTCCGGCCGGCGAACTTGGGCGCCCGCCCCGACTCGGCCCCCTCTCGCCTGCGCGCGCGCCCCACGACCCCCTTCTTTTTGGCTCCGGCGCGGGCCCCGGACGGCAGCGACCATGCCCCGTGCTTTCCTCGTGAAGAAGCCGTGCATTTCCACGGGCAAGCGCAACTGGAGCGAGCTCCCGGATGAGGAGCGAGGCGAGATCTACGTGCCTGGTGAGTGCCGGGCCGCCCCGTCGGGGGACCCTCCGCGCCGCCCCGTCCGCCTGGGCGCTGACTGAGGGTCGGCCGCGCGAAGCCCCCCCCGACCCCAGAGAAGAGAGGGGAACCCCTCCCCCACCCCAGGAAACGCCGAGCGGCGCCGCTAGGACGGAGGTACCCCTGGAGCGGTACCCCGCCCCCTCCCCCGTGTTCTGCGGCCGGCCCGGCCGGGGAGGGTCGCAGGTCTCCGCTATGCTATGCACTCGGCACGCTCCCCGCAGCGGTTTTTCGGAGCGCTCCTCCCTCGCCGCCCCCTGGCCTCCCTTCGCGTCTCCCGGTTGGGAGAAAGCCCCCTCCTGTCCCCCCCCCCCGGGAGCTCTGGGGAAACCACAGACCGCAGGCAGGGTTGGGGGGAAGCGAGGCTGCTGGTTTATTTTTGGAAGCTGCCCCAAGTGGCATCACCCTCCTCCTGAGTGAGTAACCCACGCCGCATCCTTCCAGCAGGAGTGGCCTGTGTGTTTGATCTCCTGTCCCAGACGGGTGTCTGCCTGTTTATCCCGCTGGCTCTGGGGGGCCCCGAGTCCCGTTCTTTGGGGGCCATCTCCAGCTTTAGAAGCTGGCGGGTGTTGGGGGAGCAGGCCGACCCCCCCCCCCCCAGCCAGCGAGGAAGGGCTCCTCCGCTGCAAGGGTGGAGGACGCAATTAACCAGCGGCTGACTCTTGACCCTTGCTCAGCCAGGATTGCTAGTGCCGGCCCGGGGCCCTGCCGAGGTGAAAGGGGCCCTAAGGACTGACTCTCTGGGCAGGCCAACAGCCGGGAAGGCCTTTGCAGACAGACACTCAGGTCCACTTTCGGAAGGATGCAGGGGAGGCCGGAGGTGGCTTGGCCAGGGCTCCTCTCATCTCAGGATGGCGTTTCTTTCCTTTCTGAATCTTCCTTAAACGATGCGCATGTATGGGCCCCTTCAAACGAGGCCCAGCCTCCCCGTGACCCTCTGGTTTTCCAGGCTTCAGAAGGGCAGCTTGAAAGCTCCCAGCTTTGACTTCCTGCTTAACTGCTGCCTGAGATCTGATAAACCGGCTTGGACTGTGTTAAAGGGGAGTGGAACGTGCTCAGCCAACTGTTCTTTCTGGTTGGATTCCGTGGCCGGGATCGCTAACAGGTCATATGTTGACTCCCCCAAAGGCCAAAGAAATTTCTCCTGAGCCACTCTCAGGGTCCCCTGGAGATCTGCAGCAGCTGACAGCCAGGAATCTGCCCGGCGATAGCCAGGAAGCAGGGGGGCTTGGGCAGGCCAGAGGGCTGCCAGGGGAGGAGGGTCTTCATCAGGTGACGTCGGTGGGCATGGTGGCTGGCAGAGACAACTTGAGCATGAGTGGTGTAGAGTTGGGGGGCCAGAGTCACAAATGATCTTCTGCCATCAAGCTTGGGCTAACTTCTCACCATCTGGCTCTTTGGCTTGGAACAGACCTGTTTAAGTGAATGGTAGTGATTAGAGAGCTTCCTCTTACCAGCCCTTCCCAAACAAAGCCCTCTGTCCCAACTGAGCGGCTACTGAGCGAGACTTCTCTTCCCGAGTTCAGATCCCACCTCAGACACTTCCTAGCTGTGTGACCCTAGGCAAGTCACTTCATGCTGTTTGCCTCCGTTTCCTCATTTGTCAAATGAGCTGGAGAAGAAAATGGCAAACCACTCCAGGATCTACCAAGAAAACCCCAGATGTGATCAGATATGACAGTCAGACATGACTGAACAACTAAAACAGCAGTAATAGCACGGACTTCTCAGAGTTGGGAGGGTCACATGGGATAATAACTGAAGGGCTTCTTAGCCCAGGACTGAGTGCATAGCAGGTGCTTAGCTTAATAAATCCTCCCTCCATCCTCCCTTCCTTCCTCCTTCCTCTTCCCCTTCCTTCCTTCCTTTCTCTCCCTCTCCTCCTTCTTTCCTTCCTCTGTCTTTCTTCCTCCCTTCCTTTCTCTCCCTCTTCTTCCTTTTCCTCCCTTCTTTCCTTCCTTCCCTCCCTCCCTTCTTTCCTTCCTTCTTTCCTCCCTCCCTTCTTTTCTTCCTTCCCTCCTCCCTCCCTTCTTTCCTTCCTTCTTCCCTCCCTCCCTTCTTTCCTCCCTTCTTTCCTTCCTTCCTTCCCTCCCTCCCTCCTTCCTCCCTTCCTCCTTTCCTTCCTGGTGTATCTCTAGGACCCCAGGCTCTATGCTCTGGTGCTTCTCCAGGCTGTCCCTTTCCCATCTCAAGCCAGCCATGACCCAAGAAGCTTGCTGGGCACGTCTCTCCCAGCCCCTGGGCCAGCTTGTAGCACACTGGGACCATGCTGAGCAGTGACCCTTCTCCCTCTGGGAGAGAATGGGGGGAGGGGCCCTCTGAGCTGGGGAATGTTGGAAGCCTTCCAGCTCCAGCGGTTCAGCCTGGTCCCCTTGAGGATCTCAAAGAGTCGAATTGTGTGGGTGGGGGAGCCAAAGGGACTCACAGCCCTGGGTAACCCCTAGAGCCCCCAGGGTCACGAGGCAAGTCCTGAACTTTCTCTCAGACCCAAAGGTTTTCCCCTCCGTCTCCTTGTCCTCCCTGGGCCAAGGGCAGAACCCAGGAATCTGAGCTGCAGCAGGGTGGACGGCAAGTGAAAAAAGGAGCTGGCCCGGGTTCTGTTAGAGACGGGCCTAAGGTGAGGGGACCCAGGAGTCCTGGGCCTCCTTGCTACTAGCGTCTGCTTTTCCTCTGTTATGTCAATATTGGATGGCGACTAAGATCAGCCTCTCCAGGGTGTGCCCATCCTGTGGCCCGGAGGGAAAGAGATAGAGCGATACCCAGAGAAGATGGAACCCAGAGCGAGGCAGAGAAGTATCAGGAGGCCTGGCAGGGCCACGGGACCCCGGGATGGCCTCCAGCAGGGTCTGAGCCAACCCCTCCTGAGGCCGAGGAGGAAAGACCTCCCATGATGCTCTGCTGCTCTCTTTGTTTACTGTTGTCCTCGACACACCCCATGTGCCCATTTTACAGGAGAGCAGACTGAGGCTGGGAAAGACTTGAGTAATTTTCCAAGTTCACAGGACGGGTCACAGCCAAGAGTCAGATATGAACCTCCTGACGCTGAGGCCCGGGGGGGGGTGGCAGGGGGCGGCTGGCCTAGAGTTGTCCAGGTTCATCGAGGGCAGAGGAAGGAGAGGGAGCCTTCGGGGGATGGGTAGGCAGGGCCACCTGTTTTCAGTTCTTGTCCAGCCCATCACAGTGACTAAGATCTGAGTATGTCCGCCCAGCAGCCTGAATAATCCAGGCGTCAGCTTTGTTTCTGGGGTGTCCTGGGGCAGATGCCAGCTAGGGTAAATAGAGGAACATGGGTGTGCTGCTGGGAGGGGACTGCTCACCCCAAGAAGCCGACCCTGGGGGAGGAGGGAGCTCTCTGCTGATCACTGGCCAAGGTGAAACCTGTGTCTCGGCGGAAGTGTTCAGCTTTCACTAAGCATTTATTGAGCACCAACTATATGTACAGCCAGCACTGCTGGGTGTTGGGGAGGGTTTGAAAGGGCTGGTTTTCTGGGTTCTCAGTGCAGTGCACATACCAGGGATACCTGCCCCAGTCGTTGAAAGGGAGTCTCAAGCTGGCTGGCAAAAAGCAAGGGATGATCCCTAGGAACCTAGTGATTGGCAGTGTGGGTAAAGAGCGGCGCAGGCCTAGAGGCTGACGCGCACCGTCCTCTCTTCTGGCCATACCTCTGTCAGGATCGCGGCTTGTGCGTACACAGTGGTGGACCCCCCCTTCCCAGCCCCTGCGAACCCCTGACATGCCGGGCTCGTGCGGCCAAAGTCAGCTGGGCGGCCCCCAAGCAAGGGTGGGGATACCAGGAGTCAGTCACCCTCAAGGTCAGCTGGGTCTGGGTCCCAAGAAAGCCCGGAGTCGGTAGCATCTGCCCTGTTTGGGGTCTCATTTTACAGATGGGCAGACTGAGGCCCCCAAAGGATGCTTCACAGTAAGGATCAGAGCTAAGATGGGCAGGGAGCGCTTGGAGCAAAGTCAGGCCCCATGCAGGTGGATCCGAGACCCCAAGGGGGGAGCGACAGGGACCAGCCAGCCAGAGCTTGCGACATTGCCCGGCTGTGGGCCGGTGATGAGCCGGCCTCCGCCTCACCGGAAACACTCAATTAGGGGCCAGGGTGCCCTACCAGCAGGGAACCAACCTGTTCTGTTTCCTGCCTGGGGCGCGGGCCTCCCCAGTGACAGGCACACTTGGGAGCCACACACCCACACCCACCTCTCCGAAGGGCAGCACCTGACATGCTAATGGGGGCAGGGAGGGACGACCGGTCTGTCAGGGCTGGGGAGGTGGGGGGGATGAGGCAAACTGGTTCCCACCCTGGCTGGGGGCTTTGCTGCCTTGTCTGGTTTCACCCCAGCCCCTCAGTTGTGTGAGAGGAAGCTGAGAAAGCCAGACAGAGAGGCCCAGCCCCCAAGTCAGATGCTTTTCCAAATGGGAGAGCAGACAGATGGACCAAAACCAGTAAGGCAGCACCCCCATCTCCCCTTGGGCCTCCGAGCGAGATGACCCCTGAGCCCTGGCCTCCAGGAATGGGTAAACAGAGTTTGGCCACTGGCCTAGCGGAGGGATTGGGCTTCCTCCTGGGCAGAGACCTAAGGCCCAGATGAATCAGAGAGGACTTGTCAAGCCTCCTGAGGCTCCAGAAACAGCAGGCGCGCATCGGCATCTCACCCCCCAACCCATGAGGACTCTTGTGCCTATAGTCAGCACCCACAAAACCAACCAGCTCTTGGCAGCCCCCCCCAACTTTGGGGACCGGCACAGGGCTCCCTGTGGGCCTGGGCCTGGGCCCGAGCTTCAGGAATGCCCCCCTTTACTTGCAGCCCTCAGGAAAGCTGTGCTCCCCCACAGCAGATGGGCACTGCCAATAAGCCAGGGACCAGGCCCGGGACAGGCAGCTGCCGACTCCCGCCTCCTGTCCTGGTGTTCTGGCAGAGCAGGCCTGAGGGCTTAGGCTGTTTAGTGCTTGCTGTGTCCCACCCTGCCCCTGAGCTATCAGCGCTGGGGGGCAGGGAAGCCGGGGGGGGGGGGGGGGGGCGTCCTGGGAGCTTGGCCCGAGAACAGCTGCTTTTCATTCTACCCAGAGCCAGGCAAGGGTCTTCCCTCCCTTTCTGAACCCTCCCTGACCTGCCTCAGCTTTTCTTTGGGGGGCCCTCTCAGGCCCCGCTTTGAGCCTTCAGAATCTTCCTGGCAGAGGGCTCTGTATGGAGAGCCAAGCACTTCCTCGTACAAAGCAACCAACCAGTACTCGTCCCCAGAGTGAAAACCTTTGCCTGGAAATGTCGCCAGGGACCTCTCTGGCCTCCGCTACTCCAGGGACCCGAGGGGAGCCGGCCTGCCCCCTGCCTGCCCCGGGGAGGGGAGGGGAGTGGCGTGGCACACCGAGGGGCTGCCAGGTATCGGGGCAGCTGCCACCTCCACCGCCTGAGGGGGGCCCAGCCCAGCCCTCTCCGCCACACTGAGCGGTCCCTGGTGTGGAGGTGGGTTGTGTAAGGACTGGGCAAGCAGCCCAGGAGACTGTTACAGTGAATCCACCTGCTGCAGCCCGGGGCCTCCTCCCTGCTCCACCCCTGTGGTCTGTTTGCCTGCCTAGCTGGGCCACAGCCATCCGCCCCCTCCCAGGAATTCAGGGAGTGGGTGGCAGTGGGCTGGCCACGCTAGAACATGGCAGGGGCTTCAGGGAGGGGGGCGCCCCTTGCAGGAGGTGGCAAAGGCCAGGAGAAAAGGGCTGAGAGAAGTGCCAGGGTGGGCAGGAGAAGCCGGATGGCACGGGACGGCCAGGCCTCTGGGGAGATGCCCCCCCCAACTCCCGCCTGGGCCTTCACCATGAAAGGGGGTGGGGCCCACACCAGGAATCCAGAGGGACCAGCCCAGGTGGGGCGCCCAGGCAGTTTGCCGTGGTGGCTGATTGGCAGAGAAGGTTGAATCCTCCCAGTTCCGCTAAGACACCGATTGCTCAGCGGGCACGTCTCTGGGCTGTGATGCTTGCTTGGCTGGCGTCGCCCACAATTATCCTAATGGGGCAGCCTGCCCTCTCGTCCCTTGGCACCAGGTTCTCGGCTGCCCCGCTGAAGGCAAGCTAAGACTAGAATGGTCACAATCTCACTGATTTCGCTCTCGTGTCCACAGTCAGCCTGGGCTTCTGCCCACCCCAGCCGTACCGTGATCTGGAGCCTTCGGTGGCCGAACCTCCTTCTTGTCCGCTGGCCCTGGACATGAGTCTTCGGGAGCCTGGCTACAGCACGGCCCCCAGGCCCTGCGTGGTGGCACAGCTACCACCAGAAACCCTGGACCGTTTGACTGACCCTTCGACCTGCGAGCATGGCTTTCTGCGGCCCAAGATGAAGGTGAGGAGCCTGGGCCGATTTCAGGGAGCTCAGAGGCATGGGGGTCGAGGAAACACTGGGCAGTCAAACAATAACAGGAGACTCCCCCCTCCTCTGAAAGGCCAGGGAAGCTGCAGACCCCAAAGGGCGACGAGGCTCGGGCAGAAGCAGTTGAATTTGGGAGCAGGCTAGCCTCTGGAGCTGGGGTCCCGTAACCACACACACCTGCTGTGCATCCTGGGGACGGGGTGAGGGCAGGTTGCCCGGCTTTCTGAAGACTGTGGCCCATGAGCCCTGGCATCTGGCCAGAAGGCTCAAGTCCCTGCGGGGAATGTGGACCAACCCCTCCCTCCCACCACACACACTCTCACACTCACACCCCTCTCTCTCTCTTCTCTCTCACACACACACACACACACACACACACACACTTGCACACTCACTCTCACACTCATCCCCCCCCCACACACACACGGAGCTGACACTCCTAGTCTATCACCCAGCCTCCAAAGAATTGGATTGCATCCTGCCCTGATAGGATTGACCTTGAGGGGCCGCTCCAACCTCCCCATTTGACAGAGGAGGGATCAGAGGCCTGATGGAGCCCTGGAGGGGGGAGGGCCTCTGCGGGGCAGGGCTTCTTCAGGCCCACCAGGAACCGGCAGGCAGGGGCAGTGCAGTGAGCTGAGCCCTGCTGCCCAGGCCTCCTCCTGACCTCTACGCTGCTCTCGCACGCTCTAGACGGGTCAAGCGGCAGGATCACCCAAGGTGCCAGCAGAGGGGAAAGCCTGGCTGCCAGGCTGAGGGGCAGCTGCCCACTTCAGACACCTGGGACTCTCATCCAGGAGGCCACGCTGGGCACAGGCTCCGTGCTCGCTCTGGCGCCTGCCCCTTCCATCTTTGCGCCGGCTGTCATGATCAGAGCTAGGCAGGGCTGCTCAGAAGCTGGCAAAGGGCTCAGCAAAGCCAAGGCCCAGACTCCTGAGCCCCCAGCTCAAGGGCATTCAGAGCTTTGGAGGAAGCCTGCCAGGGCAGTCGGGAGAGGATGTGGAGGGAGAGCCCAGGACATAGGAATGTGGGCCAGGCCAAGTCCCCAAACAGCAACAGCTAGAAACTGAGGCTCGGGCTTCGCCTGCAGTCACTCATGTCTCTGTCCCTGGGCAGGTGACCGTAGGAGACAGCCCGAGCGGGGAGCTCTTCACCTGTCACATCTGCCACAAGGCCTTCACCTACCAGCGCATGCTTAACCGACACATGAAATGCCACAATGATGTCAAGAGACATCTGTGCACCTACTGCGGGAAGGGCTTCAACGATACCTTTGACCTCAAAAGACACGTGCGCACACACACCGGTGAGTGGGTGGACCCCTGGGGGGCCTGAACCAGGCTGGGGCAGGGACCCAGGACTGGCGATCCAGAGCACAGCACCTAGCCGGTGCCAGGGGAGTGAGTGGGAGACTGAACTCAAGTTGGTCTCCTTACTAAGAGACAAAGGGGGCCATGAGGAGCCAGGATGGCAGGCTCACTGGGGGCACAGCTGGGCTCGTTCCTTGCTCTCCGCCTCCTTGGGCAGGCATCTCTGCCGAGAAGATTCAGGGGGGCCTCGAGGGGGAGGAAGGGCTCCCTTGTCACTCCTGCTTCTCTCTTCCCTTCAGGTGTCCGTCCCTACAAATGTAGCTTGTGTGACAAAGCCTTCACCCAGCGCTGCTCCCTCGAATCCCATCTCAAGAAAATCCACGGGGTGCAGCAGAAGTATGCCTACAAAGAGAGGCGGGCCAAACTCTACGTGTGTGAGGAGTGTGGCTGCACGTCCGACAGCCAGGAGGGCCATGTGCTCCACCTGAAGGAGCATCACCCCGACAGCCCGCTGCTGAGGAAAACTTCGAAGAAGATGGCTGGGGCCCTGCAGAACACAGTCACCACCCTGCTGCAAAACAATCAGCATCTCTAAAGGTCAAGGAAGGCCGGGCCCTCTGCCCACCTGGAGGGAGGGCGCCAAGCCCGCCGTAGCTAGAGCATTTGGGCAAAGGACCCCCGGGCACAGAGTTGCTGCCCCTCACGGCCCAGGCACAAGGCAGTCCATGGAAGGCTTTGCCATGCAGGCCCAGCCTTCCTTCAGACAACACTCCCATGTGTCCCTCTGGTTTTATTGAAGTGGGACTTGAAGATGATAAGCTGTGAGCCCCCAGGTTTTGGGGGCTCAGGGATAAGCGTGTGCTGGCTGAACAAAGACTTCGCATTCGGGGCTCTCCGAAGAAAAGCCACTTGATAAAGGCAGCTGACAGCAGGTGTGTGGCTGCAGCCCCGCTGTGTGCTCACACACCCAGGGACGCTGAGATCACTGCACATGCCCACTGGCCCTCCCAAGGCATAAGCTCACTTGATTTCTTTCCTTAGGGCTTTTGTAGAAAGATGACAAATATACAGATACTAATATATTGTTGGTGCTGATGGGGACCTTTCTCGAAGATGGGAAGGGCTAGCTGGCTCTTCTCCATCCCTACCTCCTTTGGGGCTCATCACTGTGGGCAGGTATTCTGTGGCCCTGTCTGCCCCGGGGCCTGGCCCCCTCCCTGGGCAGCCGTCTGCCTTCTTTCTGTTCTCCACGATATGCCTGGACAAGGCACAGGACCTCTGGCCCCTAGGACATGCTGCTCCGCCCGGCCTTTGCCCAGTCCCCTTGCAGCACCCCACTCAGGGCTTCCTGGGGTTGCTCCTCACTCCTCCACTTATAAGTGGACCCAAACAGCCCCTCTAGCAGGTTCCTTCTGGCTCTGCCCAGGCACAGGCAAGATGGAATGATTGTGCCTTGGTCTCCCGGAATCCACCGTCTCCTTCAGCACCTGAAGGGAAGTAGCCCAGACAGGCTTAGGTGTGATGGGGCGGCAGGCCTCACGGTTTGTGGGAGGGCTCCACTCAGTCCCAGGACGACAGGAGAGAGGGAGCCCCAGGGTGGAATGTTCACCCACCCATTAGCCACGTGTCTGGGAAAGGAGGCCTTCAGCTGAACCTGTGAGCACTCCTTCCCCATTTTGGAAGTGGAGATGCGCCTCTCAGTTCTCAGGTTAGAGAGGACATTCATCTGTGCTCCCCGCTGATAAGGGAGGGGCCGCACGTCTCCAGCTGTTGTGGCCCGGAAGGTTAGAGTGTCGGCCAGAGTGCCCCGTGGGCTTTCTTCATTTGTGGTCAGGGTCAGAGCTGCTCCCAAAAGATGGTCCACACGTAATTCCAGCCTTGCTGAAAGGGTGGGCTGATGGCCAGACCCGCAGAGGTGAACAAGCCTGGACCCCTGGGCTGTCCCTAAATACTGATCCTCAGTTGTCAGTCTGGATCAGCCCGAGGGTCTCCTGAGGGAGAGGGCGGCACTGCGGCTGCCTCCCAGACCAGGCAGAGCCCCTTCGAGGAGAGCCCCGGCTGGGCACCTGAGGACCTTTCTCCATCTCGCTCCTGAGCTGGTGCATCCAGGTTACCTGCCGAGGACTGCTTGTCAAAATGCTCCTCTTCTAGGAATCTCTGGGGCCGGTGGCCGTACCGATTGCCTCAGTTTGTTTACATGTTTTTATCATTACACATTGGCTCTGTCTGCCAGAGTCACAAGGTTCTATGTTGCCTGTGATTTTGTAACTGGTTTTTCCGTTCATTATTAAAATCGTAAGACCTCTTTGGTGCCGTGTGCGTCTTGCTGGCCTGGGCCCGCCATCCCTTCCTGCTGAGTGAGCCCACCCCCACTGCCCTGCCCCGCAGGTCAGGAAGGCCTCGAGGTAAGCGCCACACTATTGCTAAGCTCTCCAGGCATCACGGAACCACAGAATGTCAGAGCTGGACAGCACCTGGGAGCCCGTCCAGTTCAAGAACCCCATTTTATAGATAAGGAAATGAAGGCCTGGAGAGGGGAAGGGACTTGGCCAGGGTCACACAGCCAGAGACAAGACTGGGACTCTGGACTTCAAGCCCCCTTTGGGCTCTGCAGCGTCCCTCTCGCTGCCCTCCCCAGCCTGGTCTCTGCCTCAGCAGGGACACTCCCCTCTGAGCTACGAGCTGTTTGCTGATGGAATCAGACCACAGAAGAAAACGAGGAGCAATGTTGAAACAGATCAGGCCAGGGGAGCTTCAGGCCCAGATAGTCCAAGGGGATGTAGCAGAGCAGATGTTCTCCGGAGCTCGGCGGCACTGAGGACGCCATTAGGTTTAGGCTGGCACGGCACGAGGGGCTAAGGGGAAGGGGGGCGGGGAGAATGAATGCTCTGTGGAAACCGCCTGGTCCAGAGACGCCCCCTTCTCTCTGGAGGCCTCGCCTGCTGGAAGCACCCACCTGGGCTGTCTTTTCTATTGTCCCAAGATCAGCCAGCACTCCTCCTTGGGGAGGATAGATGATTAACAGGTATTCAAACTTACTGAGCGAGGGAGCCCTGAGAAGGCTCCTGGTTGTTGGCAGGATTCCCTGGGCCAGTCAGAGGATGCAAGTCAACACCCTCCTCCTCCTCCTCCTCCTCCTCACCTAGCCCTTTGAGGTCTGCCAAGTGAGTCACAGTTTCTCATTTGATTCTCACCACATCCTTCTGAGGCAGATGCTATTATTATTGTCGCTGTTTTATAGATAAGGAAACTGAGGTGATGTGACTTGCCCAAGGTCACACAGTAAGTGTGTGAGGCAGGCTATGAACTCAGTCCCAGCTGCCCCAGACGCCCACAAACAGCCACACAGTAGGGGCGGCAAGCGAGACGAACCACACGTCACAACGCAAGGGGCTTTCACTGCGTCTGGGTGGGATGAGCACCATGGCTGGGACGGGGCTCTGGGAACAGCCCTGTGTATCACTGAGATCTCACACAACCACATCGCAAAACCATCGAGGCAGAAAGGGAAGTCATCTGGCCCTCAGAGGGCACTCGAAACCACCTGCTCAGAGAGGCTGGCGCGGTGGGCAGTCCCAGGTTCTGGGTGCAAATTCTGCTTCTGCCACTTATGACCGAGGTGAGCAGTTAATAACTAACCGTTACATAAAGCTTTAAAGTTTACAAAGCACTTTACGACAATCCTGGGAAGGAGGTGCTATTGGTATGCCCATTTTACAGAGGGAGCAAACTGAGGTAAACCAATTAAGTGATGTGCCCAGGACCACACAGCCGGTTTGTGAGGTCATATTCAAATTCAGGTCTTCCTGACTCCAAGTGAAGAATTCTATTCTCTAGGTCACCCGGCCGCCTCTAACGTTCTACTCGGGTAGACCCAATATATATGGAAAACACAAGGTAATCTGGGGAGCAGGTAGAAGCAGCTGGGAAGGGGAGGGGGGCTATAGAGACTCAAAAGGTCAATAAGCATTTATCAAGCACAAGGCCTCTGGGTCATGTGAACAAGACGGTGGACTAGACACTCTCTCTGATCTCCCCAAACAAAAGTGGCGCACCAAAGATAAAGCAGTATCACTGTCTCCGTGGACAGCCCCAAAGCCAGGAACTCTCACTCACTGACCCTGAGCTCGCTCTGCACTCTTCCCCCCAACTCCTCCATTCTGCTGACAGCGAGGCTCTACTAGGAGACCCAAGGACACAAAACCCACTTCTGCGCCCCGGTCCCCACTCCCTCTGTCCAGCGCCTCAGAGGCCCCCCCAGCTCCAGGCTTCAGCTGCCAGCTTGTCCACGGCCCTCGAGGAGCAAGAGCCTGCCGTGGCTGTGACCCACAAGCACCTAAGCTGCGAAGTTCTGAATGCTGCCGCTGGGATAGACATACTGGGACAGACGGGGAGGTGGGGTGGAGCGGCGATCCAGCTAGGGCCAGTTCTGACCCCCCCCCAAGGGTCAGCTGCACCAGAGACCTAGGCTGCTGAACCGTGACTTGCCTGGTGTGGGAGGAGGCTGAGACTCTTGGAGGTCAACTCCCAAGGAAACCACAGAGGGAAGGAAGTCATGAAGTGAATGATAAGGAAAATGGGGGGGGGGGACTGAAAGTACCAGTGATATCAGGAAGAAGAAATCTCAGAGACTTTGAGCATTAACAGATAAATCAGCAGGAAAGACATTAGCAACAGAAGGAAACATGGCCTCCAGATACAGCAAACAAATTCAGGCATTTATGAATAAATACCGCCCAAAAAAAGAAATACAAAGAAGAGAGAAGGAAAGTAGGAAATGATCCAGCACTTGTTAAGATGGAGGACCCTGTGGAACTTGAGAACACAGGAGCCACAACCCACTGTTCTTGAGTCATTTAAAAAATAGATGAGGTGATGAGAGCAGAATTTATGGCCTGCACAGCAGAAATAATGGGCAGAATAGAAAAACTTGAGGCTCTAATGCAAGCCTCACCAAAGAAACAAAAGAGCAAACAATAGATTGGAAATGTGAATGTGGAGAACCAAGAAACAACCTAGAAGAGAAGCAAAAAACAAGAACATTGAAAGGAAACATGCTTGAGGGGCAGCGAGGTGGTACAGTGGATAGAGCACCAGCCCTGGAGTCAGGAGGACCTGAGTTCAAATCCGGCCTCAGACACATAACAGTCACTAGCTCTGTGACCCTGGGCAAGCCACTTAACCCTGATTGCCAGAATGAAAGAAAAAGAAAGAAAGAAAGAGAGAGAGAAAAAACATGCTCACTATGAAAGCAAACATTGAATTCCAAGACTGGATGCACAGAGCCAACCTAAGTATCAAAGGACTACCAGAAAAATGCAACAGGACAAAGACCCTTAATACCATAATGAAGGAAATGATAGAATTTCTTGTATTATTTCCATATACATATTATTCCATATACATTGTTTTTATATACATCCAGAATTTCTGAACATAGAAAATGAAATTCCAAAGAATTCACAGATTGCCTCCAGAAAAAAATTCGAGGCTGCAAATTCTAAGACTTATAGTGATTATATTTAACAATTGAATTAAAAAAACAAATTCTGCAAGCCATCAGGAGAAAGGCCTTCAAATACAAAGGAAAGGACATTTGGATAAAGCAAGACTATTCTGCAGCCACCAGAAAAGAAGGAGAGACTGGATTAACATGTTCTGAAGAGCAGGAGCTCAGGATGCAGCCCAGGGTGACCCGTCCTGCAAATCTGAGCTTCAGCATGCGGGACCAAAGAGACCAAAGATGGACGTTCAATAACAAAGAAGAGTTTGAAACATCTGTCTAAAGAAAGCCAGAACTGAAGAGAGGGTTTGTATCTCAAACACCCCAAAGAGCAGAAATGCAGGAAGAGCAAATAGAATGCAGCGGGCAAGGCCAGCAGCAGCAGCAGTGACAACAGGGAGACCAGGACGAGACTTCTTCCTAAAGGGCCACAAGGAGACGGGGATGAGGACAGAAATCTGACAGAGGCATCAGTGAGGGGGTGGGGGGGGCATCATGGACAGAACCTGGAGGCCCTCCACCTATAGGAGACTGCTGTTTCTGTGGGACTCCATTACAACATGGGGGAGAGGGGAGCAGGGGGATAGAGAGGAGGGAGTGATGGGCTGGCAATGAGGGGAAGGGGACCTTTGTGGTCTCAGAAAGAGGCTGCAGAGGAGCGGCTGAGGAGGAGTGGACCGATTGAAAAAGGGGAGGGGGAAGGAAGGAGGCTTTACTTTGGAGATGAGAGGGGGTTCCACTGATGAATGCTCCTATGAGTGAAGAGAGAGGGTCAATGAAGGGATTTGGTGCTTGAGAAATCTACTCGTCCTGTGGGGGGCAGGGACTTGGAACCCCTAGGGGCAATGGGCATCAGAAAGAGCTTTCTAGGCAAATGGAGGAAAAAAGTTCAGGGATGCTCATCAGTTGGGGAATGGCCAGACAAGTTATGGTATATGATTCTGATGGAATACTACTGTGCTGTAAGAAATGATGAGCTCATTGATTTAGAAAAACATAGAAAAGCTTGCATGAAATAATGAAAAGTGAAACGAGCAGAACCAAGAGAACATTGTATACAGTAACAGCAGGATTGTTCAAAGGACAACTGTGAATGACTAAGCTATTCTGAGTGTTATATATACTCAGATCAACTACAAAGGACCTATGCAGGAAGATGCTCTCCACCTCTAGAGAAAGCACTGATAAAGAGAAGTGTGCATGGAATGGTTTTACATATAAATAGATAGATAGGTGTGATATAGATATATAACATCTCTATCCATCTCTGTGTCAAATGGTGGTCTTCTCTAGTGCAGAATGGGGAGGGATGGAGGGAGACAGTTTGGAACTTAAAATGTAACAAAAAATAAAGAAAATTAAAGAAAAAAAGAAGAAAAGAAAAAGGTTAACAAATGAGGTTATGATCAATGGTGGGCTGCATAATCAGGGACCTGGTGGGGGAGGGGCCCTACCAGGGGACAGTGTCCTCTCTGACACCTGAAATCATTGGTTTATTCTGGAAATGAAAAAGGGAATCCACGAGGCAAGCCCTGCAAGGCAATGTCGGAAGGCACCTAGAGGGGGCAGCCCAGAACGGATACTGCGGAAGCCTTGATTGCATGAAGAATACGGAGAAAAAGGAGGGACCCGGTAATTCTAGGGGTCATGAATCAGAGAATGAGGGTCTAGAATAAACAGAAAGAAAAGACAGATAATGGAGAGAGTGAGAGAAATATTTTTTGGATTTTGGAAAGGGGCAGAAAAAAATGAAATTTCAAAACTAAGGAATAAACTAGCTGAAGGGG